CTGAGTATCCTTCGCCGTAGCTAATGCCATCCCAGTTGTTCAAACCAAAATGATCTTGGTTTGGGAGGAGTACATTGACCTCCATCCTCCATTCGCCCCCGCCTCCGGACCAGCGGATGGTATAACCGGCAATCATTCGGACCGAAGGAGAAATTGCCAATCAAACCCCGCAGGGATCTTGGATGGTGGGGATGGGGTAACGAACATATTCAAACGTTTTTCTTAGTATAATAGGCGTCCTCATTCGCCAGAGATGATTAGATCCCTCTCCCCCTCCTCATCCCCACAATGGCGCCAAAAATCTACACCTCTTCCCTCCCTTACCCACCTCTTGTGCACCGTTCCGTGTTCACACACCTTTTCGCTTCTTCCACTGGCAGCCCAGAGGATGTTGGAGGGTACCCCAGCAGAACGATCGCCTTCATCGACGCCGCATCGGGGACCTCGATGACCCGTGGCCAGCTGAAGCATTGGGCGCTATCTCTCGCCTATGGCCTTAAGCACCACCCTAACACTGCTCCTCATGCAAAACGCGGCGACACCATCATGATCTACTCCCACAACTCATTCGTATGGCCCGTCGTCGTCTTTGGTTCTGGTGGGCACCGTCGTCAAAGTTATGTTTTTTCTGACCCACTGACGCGTACCGTCGACTTCATTTAGTTGCCGCCGGCCTACGTTGCACGCTCGCGAACAATGCCTACAATGCACGCGAACTCGCGTTCCAATACACTGATAGCGGCGCCAAATTGATCTTCGTCAGCGAAGGTGGTGTCGCGACTGCACGCCAGACGCTCAAGGATCTTGGGTTCAGCAAGGAAGAGGCGGACAAGCGCATCATTGTGCTACCCGAGTCTTTGGCATGGGCCGGAGGGCCGGATGTTCCCCGCAAACCAGAACTTGCGGGGTTGTTGGCTGCACCCGATCTCCTGAAGCTTGGAACTTTGAAGGAGGAGGAAAAATTCGAAGGACCCGAGCTGTCGAAGGAAACTGTATACCTATGCTATAGCTCAGGTGCGCATCATTATTTTCTTTTTTCCGGAATTGTAAGTTAAAGTCTTCAATCATCACAAGGTACCACCGGAAAGCCCAAGGGAGTGGAGGTATGTTTTTACTGAAATCCTTATTGATACTGTATTGATCCACCTGTCAAGACCACCCACAGAAATTTCACGTCTGTTATGAACATGGTAACCGCCGGAATTCAAGTCAACACCGAACATGATTTAATGCTTGGGTTTTTGCCGTTCTACCATATCTATGGTAAGTTCACCTTGATATCTCTCGATTTCCCCAAATACTGATTTCATTTCTTGCAGGCGCTGCTAAACTACTACACTGGCCTTTCACTCTCGGCGTCCCAGTCGCTATCATGACTCGGTTCGACCCAGAAGCCTTCTGCGCAAACGTCGAAAAGTACAAAGTCACTATTTGTCTAGTCGTACCTCCAGTTCTCGTTGTGCTCAGCCGCCACCCAGGTGCGTTTCACCCTTTTCATTAAACATTGTTTTTATCCTGACTTCCATATTCTCAGCTGTTGACAAGCACGATCTGTCTTCACTCGAAATCCTCATCTCCGGCGCGGCGCCTTTGGGTGCGGAGCTCTCGAACGCCGTCATCGACAGGCTGCAACCGAAGCGCGGCCGCAAGGGCCCGCTCAAGATTTTGCAAGGTTATGGTCTCACTGAAACCTCGCCAACGACGCATCTGGTTACCCCAGCCAAAGCCGCTGAAAAACTTGGCACCATCGGTGTTCAGCTTCCTCATCTTGAGATCCGTCTGGTTGTCGATGGCGATGGCGATGGCCTCATTGACGCCGCGGAGGGTGAGCCTGGAGAGTTGTGGATCAGGGGTCCTTCAATCATGAAGGTACATCTAATCTATCTTCGTTGTCGAGAAGTATATGACGCTAACGGTCGACTTATAGGGCTACTTGAACAACCCAACGGCGACTCAAGATTCAATTACCTCTGACGGATGGTTCAAGACTGGCGATATCGGAACTCGGGATCCCGAGGGCTTCTACCGCATCGTTGACCGGCGAAAGGAGCTCATCAAGTACAAGGGCTTCCAGGTGCCGCCCGCTGAGCTCGAAGGCGTTCTCCTCACCCACCCCGAAATCGCAGATGCTGCTGTTATTGGTATCGAGAGCGCGAAGGAGGCCACTGAATTGCCAAGGTATGTATTCGATGGTTTAGATCTTCGTCTATGTCGGCCTTTCTAATTTTGAAATTTAGAGCTTACATTGTCCATGCCAACCCTAACGCCTTGAAGACAGAGACTGATAAGGTGGCGTTTGCTCTTAACGTCCAAAATTGGATTCGGTCGAAGGTCGCACACCACAAATTCCTGCGAGGAGGTACGTAGATTTATTTGCTCGAGATTCTCTTGCTCATGACCTTTCAGGTGTCGTTGTCATTGATGCTATTCCAAAGAGGTTAGTGCACACAGTTTTAGCTGACAAGATGCGTTGCTGATTTTCCCCCCGTTAGTGCGGCTGGTAAAATCCTTCGTAGGGAGCTTCGCGAGAGGGCGAAGGAAGAGTTGGCTGGTAGGGATCCCGCCGACGACATTGTCAAAGCGAAGCTGTAACGATCTTTCATGTTGTATATTATACCATTTTACTGCATCTACATATACATGTTTCACGTTCAATCAAAAGTAAATAATTTTATATCTCATCATCGCGGGCACCAAGGCAAACGAAGTGACGCATCCACACAGCTGTATTCTTGTTTGCTACAGACAGAAAGCGACAAACCAAACAGAACCCCCACAACGTTCCCGTCAATTCTAACTAAAGAGAATTCGTCAGTCAGGATGATCATTGAACAGCAAAAGCAAAAGAACGGTATGGAATAGATCAGGGGTGTCAAATTCTGGAGCCCACCCTCAAAACACTTTGGTAATGAGGTATACACCATGAAGAAATTCAAAAAAGAGCCAACACATCATGCAAAAGAGGAATATGATGAAAAATAACAGGAAAAGAATGCTCACCTCGAGAAATGCCTTCGGATATCAGAGATAAGGGAACAACAAGGTTCCAAGGAGGAAAAAATAGGGTGCTGACCGAGAGTGAGCCCCATTGAGTTATGTTTCCTGAAAGAAAACAACAATCGCATAACTGTGTCTATGAGCAACGAAGGGCCTCTCGTCAAACCATACCCCCGAGCGATAGGCATGCTCATATCTTCGCACACCCGCGCCTTATTCGAGAGCAAAGTCTTCAGAGAAAAGCCACAGAGTGGATGAGATGGAGCGCGGGGCGGACAAAGACACCCGGCGCAGATCATTCCCTCCATCCTCGACCGGTACCGTCGTGCTTAAAGCCGGTCGCTTTCCATGAAATGGTCGAGGACATGCTCTGTATCTCCGGGGACTTTCCCCACAGCTGAAGGTGAAAAGCGGTGAGGCTTTCCTGTGCGTGAGCTGCGACAGCGATTCTTCGGACAGCACGATTTGAAGAGAAACAGGTTGCGACGAATTTTTTTTGAAGGAGCACAATTGAGGCGGCGCTCTAAAATGAGGCTGAATGGGGGATTACGTATGCACGGAAGGACGGCCTTTCGGTCCAGGTGCTGTCCGATCACTGACTCCCCAACCTTTCTCTGCAACCTCGATGTCGTCCAACGAACAGGCATCTGCCTCGTCTTCACCTCAACAACAGCAGAAGCAGAACCAGCGCAAGCCACCCTTTGCTGACCTGCCAACTATAAAGATCTTAACTCCCCCGCAAGGTGCGCTCTTATTGTCCTTGATCTTCCTAAGCGACACTGATAGACTCGCTCCGTATATCAGGACCATTTCTCCCCAAGGTCGACGAATGGTGCTTCACATACTGCACGCAGACCGTCAGTGGTCGTATCAATCGCCGAGAACCCAACTGCCACTCTCTATGCGTACGCAAGGTGTTTCCTCATGAAGTGCGGAACGTTCTGGCGTACAAACGGCATCACAGCGTCGGAACCGACGGAAAGGCAGTATATCCTCTGCCTGCGGAAGGTCAAGCTGCGAACGTCCCTCGGATACTAGGTGGACATCCGAAGGAGGAATCCGAAGATTCTTCAAAACCACCTACACCGCCTCCGACGAAGAACTGGGACGAAGGCTGGTACCTTTGGACGGGCGAGGGGCGCTGGAATTTCTTCCAAAAGACGGAAAAGATGATGCTTGATCTGCCGAGCCAACAACAACTAGACGCAGTCCGCGAGAACAGAAAAGAAGTTTGGCACGATTATCAGGAGAAACTCAAGCAGAATCCGGGTCAACATGTCCAACCCCCTTCAACCTCCCAATGGTGGGCACCGATTGTGCCGCCCAAATCCCTACCCGACACAAGGTATGTAAATTATGCGATTCCTTATATTTCAGCTGTCTAACCCTTCGCAATAGTTCATCGCTACTTGTTCCGATTCCACCTGAAATTCCAGCAGTATGGGATGGCGGTAGGATTCGAAAGTTGCTTTCGCCATCCATGCAAGCGCTGGGGATCCTTCACGATAGTATAACTTCTGGCGAGCAGAGGGAATTTGCGGAGCGTGTATGGGAAAAGGCAAAGTCGGAGGAACCTTGGATACTTGCACAGCGCAGTATCTCTCGGGCTTATGAGCGATGGAAGAAGCCAGACATTGCTGAAGAAGACGACGGCAAGACGGGTTCGGCATAGGTTTTGACCACAGATACCACCACTACATTCTCGATTCCGCACTGAAGAGTTCGAGACCACATTCATTGCATTCATCTCCATCATCTCGCTGGGTATCGCTGGGTACTGTACAATTGCTTTACTTACACATACATATAAATCTCGTTATTTACGCTGTAGCATGGGTTTTACACACGGATTCAAAATATTGTAGATCATTCAATAGAACGAGTACTGAACATGTTCAAGCTGAAGGCTGGCGGCACCACACTGCCACCACAGTCGGAAATTCATGTAGAGCAGCAGTACACATACTTGTAGTCAAATAAAAATAAAAACAACACAGCACAATTGACAACGGCGAGGTTCGAACTCGCGCCCTTTCGGACTGGATAGAAAGCTAGTGCCTAATTCCAGCGCCTTAGACCACTCGGCCACGTTGCCATAGAGATATCTTTATTAAAGAAGTACTGTACTCTTCTACCGACAAAAGGTACCGTAAATCCCTCTCCGAATCCGTTGGCGAATTCTTTTGCATGTCAGTCCGAGTCACTGACAATCAGACCGTTCCCATCTCTATGCTAATGCGCTAGCGCATCTTCTTACTCATTTCCCCTCTTTTCAATTTCATCTGCGAGCCATGGGTGTCCATGGGCTGACCACATATCTACGCGAGAAGAAACGCTTGCTTTCTACTACTACCGCTCTCTCATCTTCGTCTACAACCGCGGTCCCCATCGTTGTAGATGGTTGGTCGTGAGTCTGCCTGGGATGATCCTCTTCCACCTATATATGACTGAAATCAGATGAAGCTTTATCTACGACCTCTATCAGAGCTCCAATCTTCCTTGGGTTTACGGCGGAGAATATGTAGAATTCGTACGTCTTGTGAAAAGCGTCGTCGAATCATGGATCAGGGTCGGACTGAAGGTCTACTTTGTTTTCGATGGTCTGTCGAAAGTCAAGTTAACTCTTCCCATTGGATTTGCCTGATATGATATCAAATAATAGGTGCATGCCCAGATCTAAAATTTCCGACAGTGATTTCTCGTCTGGCACAGTCGCATGTACAACCAGCGCAGCTTTTCTTCCGAACCTCAGTTGCCTCGAGATCAGCAGGCAGATTTCTCAGTGAAACACGGATCCTCCCACCACTTGCATATTCGGCCTGCATTTATGCTCTTGAATCGTTGCGCACGACAACGGAAGGATTGGAGCTCCATTTCGCCGACGAGGAAGGCGATCCATATGCCGTAGAATTGGCAGGTCGCCTGGGAGGATATGTTGTCGGGAATGACTCCGACTTTGTCATCTTCAACTCGGAGGGGTACCGCGGCTACATTCCTCTCGATGAAATGGTATGGCAAACACCTGTGGTGGAAGAATCCGAGCCCATTAACGAGGAAGATGGCGACTTTCAGCCTGTCAAAAACTCGAAAGCAAAACGAAAGCCTGCGCACAATGCTCAGAACCTAGGAGGCCTCCTACCCCCGGAAAATGCAGGACAGCTAACTCTGTCGTTCATTTCTTACAGTCCAGACACTCTTGCGAAACAATTGAAAATTCCGACTAGCCTCCTCCCTTTACTGGGAGCTCTTGTTGGGAATGATTTCTCGAAAGAGTCTGAATCCAACTCCCGCAAGATCCAGGCCTTGTTCTTCGAACGTAGTCTGTCTCTCAGCCAACGCATAGAAAAGGTCGCAGCAACAATACACACCGTGATCGCACCCGGCGCCTCGCATCGGAAAGCTAAACACCAGGTCGGAAGTGTCATGGATCTCATCGACCGTACAGTTAACGCACTCTTATCAAGACTAGTGACCTCAATGGGCACGGGCGAGATCGAGCAGATCGTTGAGAAAATTGTCAATGCAACACTTCAATACGCTATTCCAAAGTACGGCGGCGACGTTGCAGGCCACGAGGGTCTGTGGAGTTCAAGAGTCTGCGCTCTACATGATGCAGAGGCTTGCACGATCCTACCCATGATTTCTCACAACGTCATGCAACAAGCCGAAAAAACTGACCAAGCGGACCCCAATTTGCTTGAAGCCAGAGAAAAATACCTGGATGCCTATCGGGGCGGCCTCTTCTCACCTAAAAACATGGACGTGCTCAATACAGGATCCTCGTGGGCACGAATATTCCTTGAGAACCCCGATTTGGAGACGGTGGGCCGTAGTATTGGGCAGCCAATCCGCGAGTGGATCTACTCTATCCTGGACGACACCGTCGGACTGCCCATCACAGATGCCGGGGCAGAGAATACGGCAGCAGATGGAAATGAGTCAACGGATATGCCAAATGGCGATGTGGACGCCAGTGATGACGAAGAGCTGATTGATGTCGTCGAATCCGACGACGAAGATATTCCTATACCTTCGGACTACCTGGCACCCCTAAAGGGCGAGCTGCATCGCTTGCATTCGGGATCTGAAGATACATCAGACGACGAAGCCACAGAACCGCCAGCGTCCATTATCTCGCATCGCAGCCTCGTTCGCAGCCCACCGACGGTGATTGACTATTGTCGTCGGGGGACGAGGATAGCAGCGGAAGTGGTCAATGTAAAGCCTATCTCTGAGATGCTGGACTCCATATCCCTGCCTGAATACGCCGATGAAAATGCACCACCTTTGATTTTGAGGTCTGAAGAAGAGCGCTTCACGATTCTTCTCCGAATACTCCATTCTGATATCCCTGATATCCGGCATCTGCGTGCTGAGGCGACGCTTGCGGCACTCGCCGTACGGTGGGTGGTCAAGACCTTACATACACGATGGGAGGGAACCGGCAGCAAGGAGCGCGAGAAGGAGCGATGGAGCAAAAATGAAGCGCAAGCGTTCCTCTCATCCTTTATTTGGGCGTCTAGCGATATTGTCAACGGCGACCATTTAAAATCAAACCCGCCACCGCCTATTGACGATCGCAATATACAGCTGACCGCTCAAATTCTGATGGCGATGGATACCATCGAACAGTTATCGCAGACTCTACTCCTAATCGACCGAGTCCCTAGCAGTGCGCACCAGTTTTCTGGAAGAGCATTCCATGCGCTGTTAACGGGAACTGCATCATTCAAGCCGTCTCTTCCTGCCGATATGTGGCCGATTGCAGAGGCGGGGCTGTCCGATGCATTCCTGCAAGAAAGAGCGAAGAAGGTGAAGAAAGCCAAAGCAGAGAAGCCGGCTGCCACACCTGCAAGTAAAGTCAAGACGAATGGGTCGAAAGCTGGGCTGTTCGCCTTGTTGGGAGATATGGACGCATAGTGTCGGAGCAGTTAATTTATGAGAAATGTAACTGTGTGTATTTCCGGCTGTACATCTACATATATCGTTTTCTTTCTCAAAATGTTTGTCAGGGTTTGTAAACATTCATCAGAGCCATTTGCACTCAAAGCGTCCACAAAATAATTTATACGAGTGAGGTTGAGGAACACTTCTGTGTCTATTTTGATCTTCATACAGGTTTTCTCTTGTATCCGTCTGTGTTTTTATGTAAGTTCGGAACTGTATGAAATTCCGGACGATACAGCGGGGTCAGAGTGATCGATTGATCATTTACTCCGCCTTTTTGCGTAGGACGCTGCAGAGAATCATGTATATGCTATGGGCATGACGGTTCTAACCAGTTCATAACAATCGTCAAATTTGTGTCCGGCCCAGGCTGTGTGGTGTATGTGGTAAGTACATAATTGTAACTCCTGGCGCATGACTTAATTTGTATTTTATAAGTGTGCAGCAGGCAGGTTTGACCATTAGAGGTTTACTAGACAGCGACATAGAATAATGCCGTCCAAAATGGACCATCCGTGCGGCACAGCCGGAGCATGGCCAAGTGAGTGGTTCACACAATATCTCCAAGTTGCATTGTCTTAAAGCTTTCTTCCTTGCTTATCTGAGTCAGGAGCCACTTACCCGATACACGTTTATGCGCAGTGGTGTCTTGGAATTTTGGAATGAGTCAGAACACACCAGATCGATGTTGTGTGCGCCTTGTGGTACGCACGCGAAGCCCAATCGGGCAATAATCCGCTGTCCGCTGCCGTGTTGCTTCACCGCCCTGGGACGTTTAAGACACCTATTAACTCGTAGAGCATTGCCAACTGTCAAATGCTAAGCAATAAACGTTCCAAGGCCGTCCAAAGCCGTCCAAAGCGTTCCAAGCACACAAGTGTATGGACGAGTGGCTCTCCATAAATATGACAGGAGGCTGTGCATATATGGATATGGACTTGCTATAAAAGGGCCCTCAATTTTTCTTTTTCTTTCCCCTTCACCTTGACCTAATTCCTCCACCACAAAGCATCACCCACTATCCTCAGGCCGTCTTAAAGTCAAAATAATATGCCTGCTCACACACACCGCCACCATGCAGAACCCGACTCTCATCGTTGGTCCCTCGAGTCGAACAAGCTTGTACTCGGAAACCCCTACACACCAGCGAAAAACATGACGCCGAACAACGTCATCACGCTCAATTTTGAGAACTCGGCGGTTCTCATTAAGCGCCCAGAGTCATACCAGGCAAGTTCAAATTCTCCAGAGTTACTGGAAATGGTTTGTAATTCGCCTTTCAGGAAGCACTTGAGATTGCGAAGAAAGAATACCCACAGCTCGCCCATCTCTCTGCAGCACGCATAGGTTTCACCTTGCAAGATGTGGTGCACGGGACTGACCGTTTCGTGCGGATATCTGAGAGCGCCTGGGCTTCCGTTCTTGACAAGCTCCCGGGTGGCATGGTCGTCAATGTTATGGTCCTGCCTGATCCTGACGCAAAGACCGCTCCGCCAGGATACCTTGAAGTTCCAAGCCAGGGGCAGGGATCTAGCAAAGGCTCTGATGTCCCTAGCTTGAAGCACTCGAGGTCGGCATCCTCGTTGTTTGCTTGGATTGGTACGGGAAAATAGACCTTGGACTATCTGCTGCATAATATTTTTTTCACTTTCAACCATTGATTCATGATACCCACCCCACATGTTACTTTGCAGACCCTTGACTGAATTGCTTTTTTAATTATTCTTCTACGAGCCACGACTCTGCATGCATTCGTACTTGTGGGCATCAAAATCATCGCCTGTACTCGTACTAGCAGAGCTGTATATTCCATTTGTATTATTAGATTCGTATACTACGTCAAACCTTATGTATCTTATCGCCAGCTGTGAATGCATGCCTGCCTTTTAGCTCTGTCCACAGATGCGGTAAAGATACCTGAATATCAAACAAGTGTCAAATCAGAGTGCACCGCCATCATCAAAAACGCCTCTGCATTGGCAGTACGCACACAGCTCCGTCTCAGCATCAGCCCAAAGCCCTCAAGTTATATCATATATGACGATAAGTAAAGCTGTGCATAGATGATTTTTGCTCTATAAAAGGGCTCGAAGTCGTGCATTTACGACATTCCTATCCTCTGCGCTTTTCGAATACCCTGGTCTTTCT